CCTGGATGTACAAGAATCTCATGCACAGATTCAATCTTTATCGTAATTGTCAAGATTCAGATCTCAATTTATCTCATATGTGTTGGGTTCCTTCCTTAATTGGAGAGATTCTAGAAACTTCCAGAGCTCTCTAGAGAAGTCGAGAATTTTCTAGAATGATCCGGAGAACTCTAGAAAAGTGTAGAACTCTCTAGAAGCTTATGGAAGACTATGGAAGAGTGTGGAAGCCTCTGGAATATTCTAGAGAAGTGTGAAGCCTTCTAGAACCTTATGGAAGGTTATAGAAGAAGATGGAAGTGTATGGAGAAACTTCTAGAGATGTTGAAGTTTCTAGAATCCTAAAACTACCCATGGAGGAGTACTATAAATAGGGAGAATCCCCTTCACTTCCAATCATCAAAAGTGAAGAAAACAATCCACTTGTAAAGTGAGAAGTCTCTTAGAGTGTGAGAGTGTAGAGCTTGGGAAGTCCTAACCCTCAAGCTTGAGTGAGACACCATAGTGTGAGTCAATTTTGTAAACATATTCTTGTAATCCTACTATTCTTTTATATAGTGGAAGAATCTCCATTTTGGAGAATTATAAACTCTTGTGTTCTCACTACTACATCAATTCTTAAGTTCCTATCTTAACTTCACGAAGCGGGAAAGATCGAGCATTTCCCAACAGTGGTATCAGAGCCTGGTTCACTTGAAACCGTCATTAGCTCGTGCAGTTCAAGATGGAGGACAACGTCACTCATGATGGAGACATGTTCAAGCTCACGGCCAACAACTACTCATATATATTGGGAACCGATGATGGAAGACCATCTATACTGCAAGGATTTGCATGAGCCCATCATCTACAAAGACAAGGTCGAAGGCAAGAGCGATGCTCAATGGGAGCTACTCAATCGCAAGGCCGTTGCAATGATCCGTAAGTACATTGATAAGACTCTCTTCGAGCATGTTTCTACGTAAACAAATGCTTATGAGTTATGGACAAAGCTTGAGTCCATGATTCAAAAGAAAACGCCTCGTAACAAAGCCAATTTAGTTCGACGGTTGGTGAAACTAGAGTACAAGGATGGCCAAAGTATGATTGAGCACTTGAACAACTTCAAGGGGCTCGTAAATCAGTTAACAAAAGTTGATATGAAGATTGATGATGAGTTGCAATCCCTTCTA